TGTAGGGCTGCTTCCGCAGGCTGTACTGGCCGACCAGCGGCAGCCGAGAGAAGCCCTGCGGGTGGGAGCGGAGCTGCAGGGGCAGGCCCAGCGGGGCAGGAGGGGTGCAGAGAGGGGGAGGGCGGAGGCTGGGTGCTCACCGGCCAGATGTTCTCACTGGGTGTCCCCAGCAGCTGTACGATCAGGTCCACCTGGTGGATCTCAGATGTGCCCGGGAGAAGGGGCTTGTGGGCCAGCAGCTCGGCCAGGACGCAGCCCATGGCCCTGCAGAGCAGAGCAGTGCCTCACCTCACCTGTTAGCACCACCCGACGCGGCCCTGGGATGGGCTGGAGCTCCAGAGGTCACACGAGGTGGCCACAGATGGGCCCAGCCGGCCTCTGGTGACTGTAGGGCAGGGCCTCCCGTGGACCGCAGTGCGGGGGCTTCCCTTGGGGGTCCCAGGCGCAGGCCACCTCCCTGAGCTGGGAGCAGAGGCCAGCCCACCGCCCCAGACGGCGCCCACATGACCGCTGCCCTCACCACATGTCGATGCTGGTGGTCTGTGTGGTGGTGCCCAGCAGCAGCTCCGGGGCTCGGTACCTGCAGACAGAAGCGCCCACCTCACGCCCGGTGCTCCTGGCGTCCACAGGGCACAGCGAACCCGTGCAGCCCGCCCACCGGCCACCAGTCTTTCCAGGAGCCTGAGACGTCCCGGGCAGCAGGACTGCTGACACCCCCAAACCCGCCTTCCTGGGAAGCTCTGCGCACACGAGCAGCACCTGGACACAGCTGCCCTTGCTGGACAGCTCCTGTGTGCATCCCAGACAGCACTGGGTCCTCGGGCAGGCCTACTGTCCACCGTCTCATAGACGGGACCGAGTGACATGGCAGGAGGCATCCGACTCCAGTGTCTTCCCTTTAACCACGCCCCTGAGCTGCCTCTAGAAACGTAGTGAGCAGCTCTAGTGAGCCACGTGGGCCGCCCCGTCCTGCAGGCAGGGTAGCAACCACCTTCCCGACACAGAGCCAGGCTGGTGTCCTGCTGCCAGGGAGCTGCACCAGACCCGCCCCAACACGTCCCTCCCCAGGCACACCCAGTCCCAGGGACTCACCACAGAGTGACCACCTTGGGCGTCATTGGCTTCACGGGGATGCCATAGGCCCGGGCCAGGCCGAAATCCGCTGTGACAGAGGCAGGCAGACAGGAGGGAGGTGTGTCACCCAGTGAGGGGCCAGCTCATAGCCTTCAGGGAGCTTCTAAGGATAGATCTGCCCTCCCCCGTCCCCCAGCAAGTGGCAGGCACAGAGACACCTACCTCAGAGCCAGCACCCGCACCCACCTGTCTTCACGCAACCCTTATCGGTCATGAGCAAGTTGGAAACCTTCAGGTCCCTGTGACAGAAAGGGAACGTCAGGGTCCCAGGAAGTGACTGCCACCGGTAGTCTTGTCATCATCACGGTAACACTCGGAACGCTCTCCCACATCTCCTGCGTGAACTTTTTAAATGCGGAGGGCAGGCAGGAAAGGCAGCTCGACACCTGAGCTCTCGAGGATCTGAGAAGTGGCAGAGCCAGGCCTCGAGCCCACATCTAGCTTCCAGCCTTGCCCTGGCTCGCCGCCCAGGGCAGCACAAACTGCCCCAGGGCACAGGGAGCTGCTGCCTGCAGAGTCCTGCTCTGGGCTGAGATGGTCCCCCTTCAGCCCCACCCCCCCAAGTCTGGGCCTTTCCTGGCCTGTGTCACAAGACCCCAGGCAGGCTCTCCACTGCGGGACTTCTCAGAGCCTTGACTTCACTCACACCATCAGAGCAGGAGGTGTTATTCTGTCCTGATGCGTCCCCAGGAGCATGAAGACAGCCTCCACTGCACCGAGCCCGTCTGCTCCTGCTCCTCTCGGACCCTGGGCAGCGGCGCACTGGAAGCCGGGGTCAGTACAGCACAAATGCCCAAGATTCCACCCTCCTCCAGGCTGATGCCATCCCAGCACCTGAGGCCCGGCCCCCATCCAGACCCAGGTCCCCCGAGACTGAGCCCCTCTGGCTCCCAGAGCCCCCACCTGTGGATGATGAAGTTCTGGTGTAGGTACTGGAGACCCCGCAGCACCTGCAGCACGATGCACTTGACCTGCGCAGAGGGCAAGGTCAGGGCGGGCCCTGTCGGGCACCAGTGTGTTGGACAAGGACCCATCAAGAGCCCTCAGGGCCCCACCCTCGCACCTGGGCCTCCGAGAAGGGCGTTGGCATGTTCTCCAGAAGGCTGGCCAGGTCCTGCTCACAGTAGCCCATCACCAGGAAGATGCTGGAAGAAGCAAGGGGAGCACGAAGGCCACCTCAACCTCCTCGCCGGGGGGTGGGGGGGGGCTGGCAGACGGCAGGCAGGGTCGTGTGAGCCAGAACGCTCACCTCTCCAGGTGGTTCCCCACCACCACCTCCTTCAGCTCCACGATATTCGGATGGCGGAGGCGGAGGAGCAGCGTGATCTCGCGAAGGCTGCTGATGGGGACCCCTGCAACCGATTCGCTCAGTAAGCCCACCACAGACAGGAGCCCTGCACCCCGCCCTCAGCGAGCCCTGCCCTACAGTCAGGGCCCCAGTGCTCGCTCAGGAGAACTGAGACTGTCCTCCCTGCGTCAGATGCAAAGCAGCAGCTCTCTGCACTGACCGCTGTGAAGAACGGGCGCTGTGACACCCCAGAGCCCTGCCCCGCGGCAGCCAGGGAGGTGAGGGGTGTGCACACGGGCTGCCTCTGGGCCTGGGGAGGGGAAGGCCCTGTCCGGGGTGAGAGCTGAGACAGATGAGGAGGCAGACGGAGGACTGCAGCCCAGAGGGTGGGGGTGGCGAGCTGGAGCCCTCACAGACCAGCCCCTCCAACCACCACACAGATGCTCCCGGAGGGTCGCCGGGCACTCTCAGTACCAGAATCCAGTCCTCAGGGAGCCTCAGTCAACCTGCACCTTTCTGCCCCGCCCACTCTGAGCTGGAAGGGGCTGGTGTCCCTGCCCTGCTCACCATCCTTCTCCTTGTCCATCCGCACTTTCTTCAGGGCGACAATCTCGTCCGTCTGGGTGTCCCGGGCCCGATCTGGGAGGAAACTCATACGTGGTGGAATGCAACCCGCTCCCGAGCGCACGCCCTTGTACCACACGCCCTCCTCCCGACACCTGGGCTCCCTTTCTCTTTGACAACCAGGAGCCCAGTTGCAACCCAACACCCGTGACCCCACTAGACACGTGCTCCTGGGGAGTCTGCCTGCCTGGGCACAGGGTGCCTCGTTATAAAGAGCTCCCGCTGAGTTTCCCTGAGTGGGTATGCAGATCACCGCTTGGAGCTCTGTTGTTACCACGTTCTCACACCAAATCAGGTACTTTATCTACAAGGAAGCCTTATTTTGGACAAAGACGGCCCCGCAGGGCACTGTGCTGCCTGGAAGATACTTAGCAGTGGGATGCACACCAGGTCCGGCCGCTGCGAGCTCTTCGCGAGTTTTGCACTAACTACTGCAACAGGGCCACTCGTGGTTACCCGGGAGCAGCCTGACGGCGATTCAGGTGTAACCACCTGCACAGGCTTCCATCCCGGCTCCTGCGGCCCTGCCGGCCTCTGTGGGACG